TCGCGTCTATGATGCCACATGTCACTTGTGTTGCTCGGGGCGGTGAATTTGCGCAACTTCCGGTTGCCGAGTGGCAACTCGTGACTCGATTCACTTCCCCCACGTTCCTGGAACTGTCATGATGCAGTCACCATTCGCTTCGCACGTGATTGGTCGGTGGCATTCACAGATAATACGAACAAAGAAGAGTCAGCTAGCCGAACTTCGCTCAAGGTCCTGTTGTGTGCCGTCTGAACTTTGATTGTTCCGCGTGTTTCGGGGCCGAGGAATCTGAGAGAAAGTTGCGTGTGTCAGGTGGCTGTCTGTCCACAAGAAAACAGCTGCACTTCGAGGCGACTGCGCGCTGGCAACTGAAACTAGTGGTGAGCCGGTTGAATTTCTAATCCGCCTTTTTAATCTCTTTCCAAAAAGTTTTGAATTCTCACTCGTCTTCAGGCAGTTTTCCGCGGCGTTGGGTTTATGTGGTTTCACTGCAAGGGTGTGGGGGTGGACAGGAGGTAATGTAACAAAGCTCCGATCTCGTTGCTAACTGTAGGAGCAACTCGCCGACATCAGTTTCGTGTGGTCGTTCTCGCCCGGAAGTGCTGCTTCGTTGGACATGTAGAGTGTTCGGTAAGAACGTTTTATTTTCAAGCCACACGCACATCGAGTCTCCTCCGACACTGCAGTTTGAGGCGAATTATCTTTTTGTAGCAGAGTAGGAGGAGGAGGAGGCGAGAGGTCAGCTTTGCGCTGCGACCGGCTTTATCCCATGTTCCACACCTGTGCGGTCACGTAGTTCCTTGTGCGCCCAACCTTGAAGCTCTATTGCGCCGACGCGTGGTCGGTCAGCCATTGCCACAGTGACTTCCGAGGCCCCTGAGGGGTGGAGCCACATGCGACGCGGTTCAAGCCAGCCTTTTGTTTCTCCATAGGAAAAACGTAGATTTTGAAATTGTGTATTGTTTTCTGTTACTGTTCATGGGCTCCTGGCTTCAAACTCACCATGCCACGGCTCGGCCCTCGATGCAGTGAACTACATTTTACTGTTTTCTTAATAATATTAAAGTGAATTATAGTTTAGCGATTCGTAGGTCAAATGCCTTCGAATGTAAGGGTGTTGAAGGAATTGGTGTGACCTCTTTTTAAGGAGTGCACTGACATTCATGTCGATTGTCCGGAAAATCGAGAACTATATGAGAATGACAGTAACCGAACTCGTGCGTTGGCATCGTAGGAATGCGGAAGTGTCATTACTACTTCCGCCAAGAGATCTTATCTTCGCCCCCCCACCCCCGGACCGTAGTGAACCCAATAGGGCTCGTGTCACGAGTTTTTGTGTGTCTTCCGTGTCCGTTGCTTGTAGTCTTTCGCGTAGTTTTACATAAACTCTTAAAAAAAATATCTCCACTGCGTTTGCATTGGAGATTATAGTAATGCCGTATGAGGGTGTGGACTGGTGGCGGGAATTGAGGTTTTGCATGGCGGTGAGTCCGAAGATGGCTGTCTTGTGGGTTGTAACGCCGTGTTGTCTGGTAGAAGTTTACCAACGTTACAGAGATCCATGTATGAACTCGTCGCCCAGATGATGGTGATAGAGGCAGCAGGGACCTGTGAAACAACGGTAAGCTTCTGCCAGAGTGCACTGCGCTACAACGCAGAAGACTGCCGTCTTTGGGGAGTTTTCCCGAATAGCTGTTCAGGGCTGTGCTCCATTGATAACTAAACCTGCTCTGTCCCATTCATGCTCCCTGCAGGCAGTTATTCAGGTACTGATTGAGTCTTTAAAAGAAAACGCAGGGACATGCCACACGAATCCATTCATTCCATCGCTTTACATTTGGATTTGAAGCGTTACGTGAAGACAGACGACTGTTCTGAGAATATCTTTGTTTCTAAAAGACAGTGTTTACGCATTCAAAGACGAAACCGTGAGTGTGGCACCTCGAAAATATTTTCGTATGCGTTTAAGAAGGAAGTTGGAGTGTATTTTGTGAAAGTGTCCTCGCTTTGCTGATGCCAGAGGCACTTTGTTTATTCTGACGAAAGGAACAAACGTTCTGCCTGCCTTTGTTAACAAAAGCTGCCATTTAGACCAGTCTATCAACAAGACTGATAAGATTATGAAGATTGCTGGCCTCTGAGATGTTATGATTTTATTGTCGTAGATACTGACCGACGTTTCAGACGTCCTTACTGCCTTGGTAAGGTTTCAAAACAATTTTACGTTAATTACTTGAATAATGCTTCTGAGAACGATGAATTGTAAAACTGCTGCAGTTGCGATGGAAATATCTGGAACTGATAGGTACATATACGATAATATCCATTTATCTGTCGCACTGCTCTGAGGACCACCAAGTGACGCAGACCAAACAGTTAATCTGAAGATGCAAGCTTTGAAGTTATATTGCCACCTACATGTAGATATTTGTGGTAAGTAAACAAGAATCCTATCCGGTGGGTACCGGGATCCTTCCCCGGGCGTGATGCTGACCCCTCCTTCTAGTGCCGAGGTCAAGAATCCCCCCCCCCCAAGCGGCTTATCGTAATCCGAAGTACAATAACTCGAAATTCCTTGTAGTGTTCTAAACAAGTATTTTACTACACAGTGGATGGTAGATTGTAATGAGTGTTTTGGTAATGCGTCGAATCATGGATGTTGTACTAACCAATATATGAAATTCAATCGTAATTGACTTTTAAATGAACCGCGCAAACATGGCGGATTTGCCACCGATAAATGATTCTAATATTAGGTATAATTAATGCATTATAAACGGATTTCTTAATGATTTGAAAGCAGAAATGAAACACTATAAACATTTCTTATTTTGTATAGAAAATGTTTTCCACGCATTCAGTGACATTCTAACATTGACCTAACTTGACTTTCATTGTTGCCTAATATGGCACAGTGTGATTTTGCAATTATAGGTTTGTGTTTAAAGTATGAACGCTAATTGCAATTCATATTTAGAAATCTGTTTCGCTGGAAATTTAATGTTAATACTGAAAATAGTCTGCTGCAAGAGAAAGGTATATTGATTTATTTGCATGGTTTATGTAACGGACGTGGCACCACTGTACATTTCTGCTTTGAATCGAATACCATAGTCGGGAAATTTCCCACGAGAGCAGTCTGCGGTTGTGCTTACGTGTAGCCATTTGTAGGCCATCTTTATGTTAAAATTGTGAAAGGTAAGTAGCAAAATACAGAATACATAGCTGTATTTATATATCGTATTTCGGAATTATGTGTGAAATGTTTATGGAGTTATGAAGTATCATGTATAATAATGAAGTAGCTAATAACAATACAATTGAGGCGATGTACGAAGTAATTTTTTGGACGAGTTTTTGTACAGTTTTGTGTGAAGTAATTTTTTTTGTTCAGGAAATTTCTAGACAAGGGTGTAGGTGTCAAGGGGCGGCGGAATTTTTTTTTTCTTAACTGTGTTTCAATGTAGCGTCATCAGACGCGACGTTGCCTCATCTAAATACAGCGTTGACCTCATTAAATGTATGTAATGAAACAAAAGGCTGTATTGTTTATTTCAGACTCGTAGCCGATTGTTTTTCAGCAACTGAAGAAATTTAGAGGAAAAACAAACAAATTAACGTTTGCTGCTAATGTCTCATGTCATGTCTCCCAATGGCGTTAACGCAGCTCTCCCAGTGCCTGTTGAAAAGAACCGCCCACAACTCATATCCTCCGTGGACAGCCCTCCAGCAGACGTCACACCTTCCAGCTCCACTGCCCCTTGTTCCTCACTACCACAACATCCTGTCATTAAGATGTGGGCATCACTGAACATGAAGAGTGAGGCTGACCGTCTGAAAACGTACGAAAAATGGCCAGTCTTGTTCATGGACCCACATGCTCTGTCAGCTGCTGGCTTTTACTACACGAAACGGGATGATATGGTGGAGTGTGCCTTTTGTGGAGTTCTGGTGGGACGGTGGGAGGAAGGAGATGACCCCTTCACAGATCATCAGCGCTGGTCCCCATCCTGTGGGTTTGTTAGAGGATTTCCGGTTGGAAACATTCCCATCAATTCTGACGGCCACCCTGAGACACAAGGGAGTCGTAGCTATGATGTCTGTGGACCGTTCTTGGAGTTTAGGCCGAATTCTGGCTCGGAGCGAGGTGCGTTGCATCGCTTACACTTCAGACTGCTGCTGGTTACTTGTGAAACTGGACACAGCTTTGAAAATTGTTTGTTGTTGCAGCTGTCAGCAGTGGGGTTCATAACAACCTTTTGACACCAGAGGAGCTACAGAAGCATGGCATCAACCAGAGCCACGGCCCAATGCACCCATCTTACAACACGTATGATTCACGTGTACGGTCATATGAGAACTGGCCCCGCTCCCTCAAACAGAAGCCAGACAAACTGAGTGATGCAGGGTTCTATTACACGGGTAAGTCATGGCTGGTGTGTATTGCCTTCCAGTTTGTCTAAAGTAAACCGAGTGGCGCGAGAAGAGTGGCCACTTGATTGTCTTTGAGGACGCTGTATTCAGGCTCATTTGATGTAGCAGTGTCTCTGTCCTGGCAGGTAAGGGAGACCAAACAGTGTGTTTCCACTGCGGTGGAGGACTCAAAGACTGGGAGGAGATGGATGATCCGTGGGTTGAACATGCAGTGTGGTTTCCCAAGTGTGTGTATGTTGTGCTGAACAAGGGGCGGGAATTCATTCAAGAATGTCGTAAGCCAAAGGAAGCCGATGCTCCGGTCCAGGTGAGTGTCTGGGAAAGAGAAATCGGTAATGGGTACTTGCTTCGGAGGTACAGGCCGCTGTGAAGTTTTATGTCTGCCTGTGTTACAGTAGTTTGTGATGGTGTCACATTTTCGTTTTCTCTTAATTCAGCGGAGCCTTGATTTTGGTGAGTCCTGAGCGTACTTATGAGAACTGCTTCATGTTCTAGGATCTGAAGAATCTGCTGGGAGACTTGCAGAAGCCAGAAGCATCATCATCATCATCATCATCAAGGTGTGTATTCATAGACGTGCACTTTTATGCAGATGATTGATAGGGTCTTCCCTGCTTTAATTTTAACGGCAAACGGGGAAAGTGGACGGACACAGACGTTTGTTGTACGTGGACAACATTTTTCCTCTCTGACATCCTTGAAAAATTAAATAAGTTGTTTTGGGACAGTCAGACAGATGTGGAAATGGAATGCTACAGGACCTACCGCTGTGCCAAGGAACAGCTGGGATGCATGTAGTGCTTATCGTCCAGATCACAAGATGTCTAGTCGGGAACTGTCGGTGCACACGTACTGACATATATGCATAACCCACATCTGCTGCTTAGAGAGTACAGGTAAAGTGTAAAGGATGTGTCATGGGGACTTTCTGTTGGGGTGTGTTTTGTCAACATGGAAGGATGTAGAACAGGTTTGTAACAAGAAAATTAAACTTATTTAGTCTCGTGTTGTTTTGCAGAGTGCAGAATCCCAGTGCATTCAAACTGTGTAGTCCAGGAGAGATTAAGACTGTGACATTTGAGGTTTTCACAGTAAATTCTGTATTTATTCACTTTCACCTTGAAGATGGATTTTTGTCCAAACTGTGGTATCCGCCCACAAACAACACTAATTAGTGTTATGATCCAAATAAGGAAAATGGGCTAAATGGTTGGTGGTGTGTTACGTGCACGTTAAATGGATGATTGGTTCTATCCCTGAGTTTTACCGCTGATCAGCTGATGTGTGCTCGTATGAAACAATTAAAATGTAGCGGCCGTGACGTTTGAATGTGGGATGATTTTTGTTGCAGTAAGGAGCCCAGCCTGAAAGCATCCACTGTGCAAGCAGAAAATTCAGATGAGAAGGTAATAGATGATGCACGAGTCTGCCAGATTTGCTACGAGGAAGAACGGGGAGTTTTATTCTTACCCTGTGGTCACCTTGTAGCATGTGTGAAATGTGCGCCATCACTTTCAACATGCGCTGTGTGCAGACAACGATTCACTGGCACTGTAAGAGCATTCCTGTCATAAACACCACGCTGCAAAAATCCATTCACACGCAGTCGGCAGTGGCGTGTACTTCACTCCAGTGCTAGGCCTTGGTACGTTATACCATCATCTGACTGACGTAAAATGTGAGTGCATTTGGGTCAGTTCCACCACAATCGTCTGACTGACTTAAAATATTAGTGCATTTGGGTCAGTTTCACCACAAAATTCCACCACCAAAAGTGAATGCAAACTCTGTCCTTGTAATACTCATGCATCTCGTACTACATAATCTTTTTTAAAATTTGTTTTCACCGCATAATTTTATTTTGAAGCGTGTTGTACACGAATAATTGATTTTTTCATTTTGTGACCAGAAAATAAGGACGCACAGTACCTTAATTTTCTAAAGATTACATTGTTGTTGCAACAGAAATTTAAAATGTAAGTTGGGTAATTATGTAGTGTGTCATATATTAAATGTGAAGAATTCAAAATTTGGAAAGTAGTAAATGTTGACAGTGAATGTAATTTTTGAGAATGACAGCGTTAAGAGTGTTCCATTCCCACAGTCCTTACTCTCAAAATATGTAGTTTTTCTTACGTTCGTGCTTCAAGTGCACGCGGGCCATTGTCTGTTCTGACGAGCTGTGGAATTTTAACAAAAGTAACTGCATTCACTGTAGCTGACGGGCGAGACCGTGCGATGGATTTTTGAAACAGACTTACCAAGATTAAACCAATTGTTCATCTGAAGCATTTATTTTTGACTTTTTAATTTACGAACGTTACATTGCTATTTGAAAGAATAACATGTTTGTTGAACTACATCGTCGTGTCACAAAACTAGTATACGGTACGACATTAAGACTGAATTTAATTGGGGTATTAGAGCAGTTTAAAAAGTCATGAACTGATAAAAACGAAATTAATTACTATTGATATAAAGATGTCTGGATATTGAATGATGCCCCTATCTGAAATTGTCAGTTTGCTCGTGATGGTTTCTCCCATGTATTTTTATGTAAAACGCCTTTTGTCCCTATATTTTAGCCAGTGATGTGAGTAGCTCAGAGAAGCTCTGTTCTGTGTTTTACGTGGAAGTAGATGTGCTATGCCGGCAAGCCCGACTGGTGTTAACGCTGTATCCAGTCGCATTGCACTCTGCCTTCTGTACCAGACCCAGACGTCATATATTCACTTTGTATATTAACCACTGATTAGTAGTATTTACTTTCTTTGTAAACGAGACGAAGTTAAGAAAAGTTTGCGTTATTTCTGTCATTTATTGACTTGAATATGAAGGATGTCCCTGTGCAGTGATTGGTGTTTGTGGGATCCTGTTGTTAACGTAGGTACAGTTATTGTATTGAATGACCATCCTGCCTTCATAAATTAATTACCAACATACTTTATCGTAAAGAGTATTAACTGATTTGTGATTGAATGGTAAATAGTAAGTTCAACACAGGCCTGGTTGAACTGATGGTAAGACAGTTGAATCTAAAAGAACGTTAAGTAATTAATTAAAGTAAATAATCCTATGCAGAATTAATCATCTGCTTGATTGTGTCACTTTAGAAAAGACATTTCATTGACAGTTCTTTGGATTTTTAAAGCTGTATACAGGCTCGTTGTGCGATCTACTGTCCATCTTCTGTTGTGCTTCATACACAATGTGCTGATTGTGTTTTTGTTTGATACTCCATTTTGCATACAGCAGTTTCTTTCTGAATGATTATTTGGTTTTCTTACGCAGTGCAAGTTACAGTGATATAGTTTGTTGACCTTAATGACAGTGACCTTTCACATTGAGGTACTCGTTGATTGCTGGTGATTTTGTGAACTTCAGAACGCTTCTTGCTTCTAGTGCAAACGAGTTTGAGGGATATAAACATCTGGAACCGCTGTCTTGTCACATTGGTGCAGCTCGTTCTATATCAGGTAGTCTATTGAGGTGAATTTATGTTTTGCTTATTTCCAGACTATCATATTAATTTTACATGCATATTTTAATGGTGGAGTCCAATGAAGCAAGTTTTGCTATAACAGTTTCATGTTACTGTGCTGTTTGGAATAACAGAACTTATAGTTGCATTTTCTCCAAACCCAGTTGTCAGAAGAAAATAAATTGATGGAATTTGTCGGTACATCCAAAATCACTGATTTGTGGGCCACCATGTGCTGCCCCCAGATTAGTCCTGGGAGACTGTACTGTTGTTGCAGACAATAGAATTCTGAATCTCACAGCCCGAACTGGTCTGATGATAGAATGTGCAGGAAAGGCTGTATTGGTGCCAGCACGTGTGTGTATCCTGATATGTAACATTGAGATAGGGCATTCAGTTTTCCAATCTCATTCTGAACATGAAACAATGAAAAAGAGGGGGCATAGTTGTCATCCTGCATTTAGAATGTGAAAGTAAAAGTTATGATCCCCTTTGTGCTCACAACACGAGAAGATCAGACTAGTGTCAGGGAGTGCTCTTGCAACTTCAGCATGAGACAGTTTCTTGGGCAGGTTTTTTAACAATTAACGTTAGTTGTCCGTGTAATCTGCCCATTGGTGCCACCAGGAGTGCAAAGAAAGTTTGGTGTTACAGTCACTCAAGCTGTCATGATAAAAGATGGCACTGTAGCTGGACAGAAGGTATGTGATGTGGTGTGACAGTATCATAATTTTAAAATTACCATGGAGACTGCATCCTAGCATGCTTCAAAATTAATTGACCTGGAACTGAAAAAAAGAAAAAGAATAAGACTAGTGGCCATTTCATGGAGTTACCCCAAGATTGAAAATCATCTTTTGATATGGTATCTTCATAGTCACTAATAAATACTGAAATACAAAAAGGTAAAATATTGTGCACCCTCTCATTTGTTGTAAGAATGGTGGGCAACGTAATGTAAATTTGTAGTTGCAACACCACTTTGCTTCTCAGCACTAGCCTCTGTGTAATTTATGTGGAATATAAAGAAACCCACAATGGTTGAGGTGTTTTATTTACTTCTGACTCCCAAGTGCACTGCCACAGTTTGTATAGGAACATGGAATCATTGCAGTTTATTTTCAGAATTTTGACAATGCGTCGTAAAGGCTTATTAGTTTTGCTATTGAGTGTCATTCAATTCTGTAAATTTGCATTTCATATTTAAGAGCAATAACAAATAGTGTGGAAGTCTTGCTACTAAACTATATGGTGCAACACATTTGAAGATTGAAGTCCTCATTCTTCCATCAAGAAATATCTGGTCATGGTATATGATTGTTGTTGACAGGAACCTAAATTCTAAATCTGAAGAAAGTTTGTATTAAATGTAAGGTTGGAAAGCATTGGTAGAGGATTATTGTCAGTTGGACGTGTAGTTTAGGTTGGGGAAATGGGCTCAAAATATGACAAGGAACTGTTGAAAACCAAGAAAGTGATGGGTCATTTGGAATGTTGGGGAGATCAAATGTGTGGGGTTTTGGAAGTGGTTTCTGTATGGTAATGTATGTTATAAGCAGTCTTGAACTCTTTGGTTCTGCTGCCATTGTTTTTTATTTTTGTTTTGCACCGTGTTCTGAAAATTAGAACTTTGTGTTTCCACACCATTAAAATACAAGATAAATACAGAAAGTGATAATGCATTGGCGTTAACATGTTCAAAATAAAATTTCATTTGCGAAAGTGTCGGTGCAGACTATGGGGATTGGTCTACAGCACATTAAAATAGGCCGCGGCAATTACATTGTATGCTGTAATTCATAATGACGGATGATACACAGCAATTTTTATTTAAAAGCCGTGTTAGTAAAGCAGTCAAAATGCATTGCGAAACAGGTTATGACATGCACTTACGTATGTACGTTACCTTACGCATGCGCGGAGATATCGTGTTTGGAATGACTCCGGCAGAAGCCGTCATTCAGTGATGTGACTTCGAGACTTATCATTTTTTCCTGCAGAATGGCTTGTCTTGGTTTTAGGTCACTGGTAAGTATTGTATAAAATATTTAGTTTTAATAATAGAATATAAAAGTGCGGAAGATCAGGCATTGTGTTTGTTGAAGTCGAAGTGTAATTTTACTAATGACTAGAAACTGAAGTTTCCATGTTCACTATAACCTTTCGACGTGATATGTGCCAGTGTAGAAGAGTACCTACATCGCTTTGTGTATTCTAACAAAGTTGACGTGAACTAACTTAACAAACGACATCAGACTTCTCTTAGAGGAATTAAATAAAATTATGCATTCAAGCAAAACTGCACGGTATGCAAGGTTTCAAAAGTAGTAGGAGCTGTTGGCTCGAAAATCACTAGAACGCGAAGTAGCAAGGCCCTTAATCTGTAAGAGAGAATAAATGAAACTGTACCGTGACAGTTGATTTCATGTATTGAGAAATTTACAGGCAATGAGTTTATTAGCATTGATGATAAATCATTTGTGTTTACCCCAAAAGTACTACATTAGCATTCAGTTGGAATTGCTGATTGGTTGAATTTTGTGCTAGAACGTCTCAAATATTAGTGACATATTGCCACTAAATTAACCAGCTTGGTTTCATAATGAAGTCAAACTTTGCACTTTCTGAAAAGGTTGTAAAGTCACAGAGTGTGAAACATGAATGTGTGAAATTTTTCCTATTTTCAGGGCACCACTTGTTATGGTCATGTTAATGGGAACTGGTGAAAAGTATAAAAATATTAATGGCGAGACAATTTGCTATGGCTGTAACTTTATTTGTGGAGACCTCAACATTTCTGTTGATACAGTTGGCAAATTTATGACTGCAGCATGTCTTTCCTAGTCAGCTGTTGTTTTTTCTGGTGGGAAGACCCCTGTTTTCTTTGTACTCATCTCCCCTGCTTCATCTTCATGTTATCTGTACATAGTACCAACCAACTCTTCCACTGTCAGATTTGAGGTTTATTTGGTGGTCTGAGTTCAGATTCTAGATTGTGATATTGTAGGTTAGGTTATTAATGATTCAGAGGAATGTAATCCACCTTCACAGTATATCTTCACAAACATTGAGAGTGTGTGAGGTAGTGAAGAAACAGACCCAGATTCTTAACTTCAGCAATAGATAGTGGAGAATAGCATTGTATCCAATATGCTTTATCCCTGGGAGAGTACCTCCAGTAATCTGTTTTATAGGAGGAGGCTGGGTGGGCCCCAGAGCCAGTCTGGATGTGTTAGTGGCTAAGGTAAAATTCTTGTCCCTGCTGGGGAATGAAACACGGTTGTTCTGACTTAATATTTATTAGGAGGAAGAAGCTTTATCACCTATAAGTGAAACTTGAAACACATACAAAATTTTGGTTTAAAAATCTTGAAGGCAGCTGTGTTTTAATGGGGTTGCAGCATTGAAATGGATTTTGCAGAAATAGTGAAGTTGATTGGTTTCGCTTAGGATAAAATTTCATAATTAAGGTAACATGGCTTTGACTTGCATAAGAAGAAGGCATTTTTATCGACTTTGTAACTGTCAGCTGATAAAAATGAAGATGCCGGCATCCTGTGGCTTTACCTCTGATATTCTATTGTTTAGGTCATTATGTCTTATGAACAGCAAAGCAAACATTGCTATCAGCTGTTTCAAAGGTCACCACTTGTATGTGCTACTGGCACAGATGTCAGTGTTTAGTCACTGGGGCAGCAGCATTCTTAGACAGCCTGAAACATGTTTGAGAAAAATCTTGTTGTGTTAGCCAGTAAAGTGGCTGCCTATGAGCCCTGTGATTTTCCCCTTCTCCCTCACCATGCATAGCCCATGTAATGTACTAACAAAAGAATGACAGAGGCTCTTGCCACTGGTCATTCCCCTAAGTCTCGTACTTGGGTCTAGAAAGTTTGTGCCAGCTCAGAAAGTTTACCATAATTGTGAACAGGAGGTGACCGGCAAGGCACTCTGTTATGGTGGACAGACATCAAATGGATCTCTCAGTATTATTAAAAGAAGCAGATGTTGTAAGTAGCCTTACCATTTGACATGCCATAAGTTTTAACTTGTTGCAGATGCACGTCCACCATTATAGCTCTGGTGTGCGCTTGAACGATGTTGTAATTGCCTCAGGTGTGCGTACACCCATTGGCTCATTTGGAGGTTCTTTGTCATCTGTTTCTGCACCACGGTTGGCAGCAGTGGCTATTCAGGTATCTCATACCATGTAGCATGGACACATTTTTGTTTTGAAGGTCTGTGCCACAATTTTTGGAGTGAATTTAATTTTGGCATGTATTTTTTTGTGTATTTGCATATGCAAAGCTCAAAATTAATTTTAACACTTTTCTCAATAGTGGCTCGTCATACAGCACTAAAGTGAGGCTTTTTTTTGTACTGAAGAAATGTTTGGTTCTCAAGAAAATCTGTGCTCTGTGCAGTATAGTGTAAAGGACCCTGGTATCTGTCGGATAGGAGGCTGGGTGGGCCCCAGGGCCAGTCTGGGTGCAGAGGCTACAGGAAAAATCCTCTGCCCTCAATGGGGATCGAATCTCGGTCGTCCAGTCTGTAATCAGTCACTATGCTGACTGGCTCTTAGATAGGTGATAAAATGGTTTCATAAATTACCAGTGTGTATTAGATGAATCTTCTTAAGCAACTGTATGAAGCTCCCTCCACAGCAGTTGGTTGATATGAAAGTTGGCTTCTGTTTTGGAGAACGACACTGAAAGAGTTAAATGGTGATGCAGGGAGCGATTGAGAAGGCAGGCATCCCCAAGGAGGAGGTCAAGGAGGTACTGATGGGTAACGTGCTACAGGCAAATGTGGGCCAGGCCCCAGCACGGCAGGCCGCACTCTTTGCAGGTATGTATGTATGTATTTGTTGTGAGATTTTCTGGTGTAAAGTTTTACTGAATGCTGAATTGCAAAAGATGTGAAAGGAATTAGTCATATGTGTGGGTAGATGGGACAGCGCGGAGTGTGGCGTGGGTTTGCTTAGTAAATGTTTGAAACTGATCTTGGTTTTGTCAGTATGTGATGCTGGGAACCGTATCATTATGAAACTAAGTTACATTTTGCTGCAGTTCACTTCCAGATTTCTTTGATGTGGTGTCACCGTGAGATTTTCCAGGTTTTAGATACAATTGGAGCTCCTTCTGTTTGTTCCTTGTAGCAGGTGGCACTGAACTACTGCAAACCTATTTCTGAAATAGCCTTACGGATTGACTTCTTGTATCTGTTGCATTCTGAAAGTCAGCGTTGTTACTGGGAATACCACACCAAGCAGCAGTGTTAACTGAAGGGCATACCACACCAAGCAGCAGTGTTAACTGACACTAGACATTGTGAGTTGGCTCAGTCAGAAGTGGATTATTAAATTGTAAAGGTAAAAGTATTGGAGGCATAGCTCCATGCGTTTTTAACTTTTGTACTAGATGTTGGCTAGTAGTTAGCTTGATGTTCTGGCCATGTCACCTATCAGGAAAGATGCCCCAATAAACAATGAATAGAAGGCTGGGTAGGCCCCAGAGCTAGTCTGGACACTATACTGACTGAGCTACTCTACCTCCATGTATTACATATTCCTAGTTCCTGCTGGGCGGACTAACATACACTGAGGCATTCGAAGGAAAGAGGGTGAGGCTTCACCATGCTGTATGTGCTCTGTATATGTCATAGTGCACAGTTTAATGCTGGAATACTGGCTGCTGCAGGGCTACCCAGGTCAACAATCTGCGCTACAATAAACAAGGTTTGTGCGTCAGGGATGAAGAGTGTCATGCTGGGGTCTCAGGCCCTCATGTGTGGTCTGCAGGATGTGGTGCTGGCAGGCGGAATGGAGTCGATGTCAAATGTCCCATTCTACATGGCGCGGGGCGAGACCAGCTACGGTGGAGTGAACCTCAGTGTTAGTAATGTTCTGAGGTACTATCATAAAGTAACAAAGCTCAAAGTGCGAGACATATTTTAATGGTAGACCTGTTGCCAAGTTGGGAAACTACTCTTTTTATAGTTAACTGTTCTGGTTGGTAGATCTTCTTAGGATAATTAGTTTGTTAGGAATACTTGGAAGCATAAATTAAGGATCTGTATATTTGACTTTCAGTGGCTGAATGGATTTCTTTGTTGACAGGATGGTATTGTGCATGACGGACTGACTGACGTCTACAATAGCATCCACATGGGAAATTGCGCGGAGAACACAGCAAAGAAGCTTAATATCACGAGAGATGAGCAGGACGAGTTTGCCATCAGCAGCTATACGCGCAGCGCACAGGCATACAAAGATGGCGCATTCACTGATGAATTGGTACCTGTATCAGTGAAGCAAAAGAAAGGTGACACATTGTGTGTCAGTGCATGTTTAAAAATGCTCAGAAAAATGTTGACATGGGTAATACTACATAATAAAGAAGTTTCTTTGTACAAATGAACTAATGTTAGTGTAGGTTAGGTGATGGTAATGTTTCTTGAATGGGGAGAATGAAGAAATGGTGGGGAAAGTGACCATATTGAGGAGTGACGAGGAAATAGGATGGTAATAGTAAGATATAGTTTGTAAGGTTGTGAAGCAGATGAAACTGGTTCAGGAGTATGTCCAGTGGTCAGAATAAGCACTGACAAACCGTTGTTTTGCTTAGCAGGAAATTGTGCAAAGGATTGTTGGATCATTTTTGAACCAGGATTACTCAGTCAGAAGATGGCTGTCTTCTGGGTTGTTGCGCCTTGTAGTCTGGTAGAAGTCGGTCAGTTTGGAATGTGATGTACCCTGACTGGCTGTGGGGTGCTCCTGACTACTTACTCGTTGGGGACTGCTGGCTTTCTCTGTAGGGGTAAAATGACTTATGGATTTGGTCACTTACCTCAGTCTAGTGTCCAAGTCTGAAACACATACAACTTTACCTCTACTCCTCCATGCACCATCATGGTATGGTTCCTGTGTGTGTGCGTAGCGACAGCTTCTCGTGGTTTATGTCAGGGCTGGAGTAGTTCTGTCTCAACTTTGTTGATTCGCATGCTGCTTAATAAAATTGATGAGCATTGTAATTGTGTCATTGAATTTGATGAACAGATAAATGATAGTGGCGAACTGAAGCGCTGGGACCTGCACTGACCATCTCTCTCTCTGTCTGTCTGTCATGCAGGAAAGCCTGATGTGGTGGTGACCGAGGATGAAGAGTATAAGCGAGTCAGCTTAGACAAGTTTAAGAAACTTTCTACTGTTTTCCAGGCAGGTACCAGCCTTGTAGCTAATGTAGCTTGTGATGCAAATAACAGGTTACTACTGTCAGAGAGCACTCGGAAGATCAAACTGTATGTAGGAGGATGTTATTAAAATGGATCTTAAGGAAGTGGATGGGAGGGTGTGGATTTATCTGGCTCAGGACAAAGGCTGGTGGCTGGTGGTTGGCTCCTTGAACACGGCAGTAACCGTGGGTTCCATAAAAGGCAGAGAATTACTTGACTAGCTGAGCTGGTGTCAGCTCCTCAAGAAGGACTCTGCTCCATGTGCTTTTTTAGTTAGTGGCCTGTAGCAACTCGATGAATGGGTGAGGAACTCGTTGCTCCAAGGTGTCTTGGCAAGGGTTATGCAACTTTTAAAGTCTTTGCTGTCCTGTCCTCATGGAACCTCGGAACAGCCTACATCTCTTCAGCTGTTATTTGGTGCTATGAAAACTGTGAGTCAGGTGTATCGCTGTTGAACGAGCAGTTACAAAATCCATTTGTTTTAAGTGATAGTGGTATATGGGGGATTGGAAGAGATTAGGCAATTAAACAGTTGCTTTCTCAAATGGCGTAGGAAAGCTAGGAATACCCTGCATTACTTTTTCATTCAAGCATGCTTATAATTATGAGCATTCCAACAGAAATATATCTACAGGAAACAAGGTGATGCAAGGAGAATTTGCACTATAGACTTATCAGGAATATTAGTGGAGTGTAAAATTGGCAGGGCATTACAGACCACACCAAAGTGACAGTGACTTCCTGTAGCACGGTACAGTAGACAGTCTGTCTTATTTGCTGAACAGAAGGAGAATGGCACTATTACGGCAGGCAACGCTTCCACTCTGAATGATGCCGCGGCAGCTCTGGTACTGATGACAACGCAGGCAGCTGAACGGCTTGGCTGTAAGCCTTTGGCTCGTGTATTGGGGTTTCAGGATGCGGCGACTGAGCCCATTGACTTCCCTCTTGCACCAGTGCTTGCAGTTCCCAAGGTGAGAATTTGCTGTCTGTCCTCTTTTTTTTTTTTTTTGAATTGAAATCATAAAATGAGGAACTCTGTTGTTCATACCCCTAATATGAACTTGTGTTACTGTATTGCAGCTGTTGGAGAACTGTGGTGTGAAGAAAGATGATATTTCACTGTGGGAAGTGAATGAGGCCTTTAGTGTTGTTGTGTTGGCATTCTTAAAGTCTTTGGATATTGACCCAAGCAAGACAAATGTCCATGGTGGAGCTGTGAGCTTAGGGCATCCCATAGGGTGAGTTATTCCCTATGGAAGCAGTTGGTATGTTGCAGTGGATTTCCTAAATTAGGTGTAAAATTGAGGAAACAACTTTTAAATGTAGAAAAATCTATATACTTCTCATTATAACAAGCAGCACATGGATATGAAGGTGATTATTTTTTGGACATTGTCTGTCATAATTTTTTGAAGTCCAAGGTTTTGGAAACTGGCTCATTCACCATGATCATGTAGCAGGGAGGAAGGTTCTTATGTAGGTGGATCCATTGGATAGGGCTTACCTTTGTCCCACAGATTGAATTTAGAATATAATTTTTCTAAACGTGTAAGAACTAGAAAAAATAATATTCGTTAACATTTCTGTTGTTTTGTAAACTACAGATGAGGCAAAATGCATAAAATCATGAACATTTTGTAGTCTTGAAATGCAGAATCTGTTTTATTTATTTTTATTATTTTAGGCATGTTCACAATGTTGCAGAGCACCCGTTAAAAATTACTCTGGTCATCAGTCTCAAGAATGGATAAATATAAAAAATTCTTAGGCTGTTTCAGTTTTCATTTAAGCTGGAGAGTTTAATGAACATAGCATAACACATTTTTTTGAGCTGATGTCAATATGGTTGTTATTTACTTTGGTAATCATGACTACCCAGGGAGGGAGAATTCTCTGTGCTGATCCCCCTCCAAGCAACTCTAAGATTTCTGCACTGTGCATGAAGGTTGAAGGTTATGCTTTTCACAGAACAATCCTACCGGAACTACTTTTGAGAGATCAGTGACGAGTTGAAAATATAGAGCCGGTAATGTGCTAGAATTGTTTGCAGAGAATACATGTCCAAACTTATTACTTCTAAATGAGAACGTAGTGTCGTTTGGTTGCAGGATGTCTGGGGCACGCATTGTTCTGCACCTGATGCATGCCCTCAAGCCTGGGGAGAAAGGGGTTGCTGCCATCTGCAATGGTGGAGGTGGAGCATCATCCATCATGATAGAAAAACTGTAAGTCGGCATCATGGGAACATCATACTTTTATATATTGTCATGAACTTTTGAATATCTCAACAGGTGAATAAATATATTTTGGTAGAAAGCATTTCCTTTATTTCACAGCATGCTGATACTTTCATGTTATGATTCTCGTAGATTTGTTAAGTGTGGTGTTTATTTGGAATTAGTCGCAGGCTGAAAAGTTTTCTCTGTTTTGAAACAAAGAAGCGTGTGGGAAATATTATCTGAAGTGTCAAGCATTTAAGATCTCGAAAACACAGTTGCTAGGATAATGGTACATTTTGCATTATTTGCTACTGGCATTTTATCCAACTTGGCTGGGTTCAGATTTTGGTATTTTAGTGCTGTCCGTCAGTCCCTCTGCTAGGAGAGAGAGTTCATTAAAACAGTGACATTTGTTTCCTTACTCCTTCCTCTATTCATAGGTGATTCATCAGGCTGTGAAGTAAAATAATTGTTGCACTGTTGTAATGTTTGGGACATCCATCCAGACAGGTGAATGGCCAGGATCTGCCAGAATTGACTCTGTTCACGAAGAACCCCTGCCCCTTATGTGACACTGTCAAGATGCAACTGGCCCCGTTCAGGCATAGAGTCCGACTTACGCAGGTTGACATTGAGGCGCCGGAGAATGCTCACTTCAAGGAGCTGTACCGCTATGAGATACCGGTTGTGTTTCTAGGGGGGCAGTACTTGTGCAAGAATAAGCTGGATGTGGTGGCATTGGAGACAATGCTTTGCTCACTGGAGTACTGACGGTAAGAAATACATTTTGAGCCCATCCACAACTCCATATCCAGGAACTTGCATTGTGGTTAGGTTGAACTTCACAGCCCTGTGGATCTTATGTGTATTCAGCTGCCATTTTCCTGTAAGAATAAGATGTCTGTTGATGGATGATTTTTGCCTGTACTAAATATTTTTCCTGTAAGATGTGGTTTTATAAGTTTTACCAACTTGTAGTTAGTGTTATATTGTTAAATAGTAGCCATAGCATCTTTAGATCTAAGAAGATTGCAAAATACAACAATAGTAAACTCTTATCTGCAGATTCTGTATCTTAAGGTGAATATATGAGATGCAAGGAACCAAAAATAAAGTTTAAAGGGATCTTAAAATTTATTGATGTTGCCAAGGCATTTTATAGCAGCAATATCAGCGAAAATCAGGTCTCGCTAAAGTGTAAGCATGAATTCTGCATACCAGAAGAATTAAAAGTGTTATGAACGTGAGTACCCAGGAAACATGCCAGTGAGAGTTACAGATTCCTCTCTATGGGATGTGATAATTTTGTAGCAGCATACGAATAAAATGAAATTTGTTAAACCAAACACCTAATGCCCTGAAGACGTATAAAGTTAACAAGTTATACCAAAGCTGTAACATTATTAATTGCTGTTATGTGGGACCGGTAATTTGGGGAAGCCGAATAGTGATTTTCATACGCGTCAGTTATGTTGCCATCTCCGATTTTGTAGTTAGCCATTCCATGTATAGATGGCAGCGCATGTCGCTATGTATGGCGTTATTGCTGATTGATATATTAATAAATAAGTTAAATTCCCGCATTCCGTTAATCTGTGATGCCACAAGTTCTGATATTTGGTAAGAATTTAATAGTTATTTTACCCATTGTTAATTCTTTAGCTGCTAGGAAAGCATGTGAAACACTCCACAATACAAATGCTGTAACTAATACCAACATGGAAGCATAGTTGAAACCGCAAATAACCGACAGATATCATATGTTTTACTGCACTGAGGAAAATAGTATCGTGCAAAAAATATTTTGTTCATAAATCTTTCCAGCACTTCGGAACCGTCAACTAAAGTAAACTTTTCAAAGAAAGTATAATAATTACTGTTATGATTTGATGGTATCTACTCTTCATAGACAATTTAAAAGACTAGAAAGAATGTGTACAATACTCTCTCAACAGATATGTACATCAGTTGTAATAGATGTCTTCCTGTTTGCACTTCATGATCACTTCCTAGAAAATTTGGTGAACACCGTGGAGCTAGCCCCAAATTATTGTTTGCATTTTGGTTTAGGATTTTTTTTTTTTAATTTTACAATCATCGCGCAGAGTTAAATACCCTTCTTACGCCCATTTTGATGAAGTTGGAACATTAAATGTTTGAATTCAGGATTAGGCATGTGGTATATTAGATCATGAATAATGCGAGCTTATGAAAGCATTAGTAATTTTATATATATTTCTTTTTGTGTGTGTGTGTGACGTGAATATAATTTTTGGAACATGGATGTTTGTGTGCGTACTCAAATATTATGGATATATTAAAGTTCTGGGCTTTGGAGAAAGATAGCGCATACTCCGCTGTGTTTTATTAACTTCTGCACCTCAATATTTGAGAAGATAAAGGAATATCTAATTATTTTTTTTGAGGTTATGCTGTGATGGTTTCGAGAGCATTAGACGTCAGTGTGCTTAACCGAGACTTAACATGGCATGGTTAGGCAGGAATAAGACCAATGACACAAAATTCGTATTGCTTCCGTGACATGACTAGTCGATTTATGTTCAACGGAAGTCACGACTTTAATGCTCATGTTTTCTGGCGTTTTTGCTGATTGTTGCATGAATTCCCACTCCCTGCTTCACATTTTAGGTATTTTTTTGTCCTATAAAATGTCATCTGGTGATAGTCAATTAAATTACTTTATTTTCCAAACTTCTCTGATAATGAATAATATAGGTTAACCATTGAACAAGCAAAATAGCAGAGCTAAGAAAAGTTAATTATTATTTGTAATTTTTCTTATTTGTAAAAGTGGATGATTTTTTTTCATTTTAAGTAATTCATGAATGCACTGATATGTTGATGTGTAGCTGTAATATTTTCAAGGTTAATTGGCCGAAATTGTTCTCTAATCTTTCCTGAGTTTTTAACAGTGGGGTTGTGGCAGGTTGTAATGGGTTTGTGTTTCATAGAGCCACATGACATGCTTTTGAACAGAAGCCAATTGTTTAAGCATATATGAATGTTTTCCAGGTGAGCATGGATATAATCAAAACTGAACCTGACTTTGCGACAAGTGGTGACGAATTGGTTTATCAGAATGGTGAAGAGGATCAATTAGCAGTTCCATTGCATGAGGCTGAAGTGAGTTCTGCTGAGAAACTGTTACAGAGTGGAAAGAAAGCCTTAGTCTCATTATAAGTAGTTAGTTTTGATGGGAAACTGCTTTCTCTGGATTGATTGAATCTTAGGTAATGTAATGAAGGCGTTCCAACAGCAGAGATTATATGGCCGTGGTTTAGGCAGGAATAAGGTGATGATATTTTAGTGGCTTCACCAAATGTAAAATCAAATAATTGTGGCTACATCGGCCTGCCTGATGGTTTCATTGCCTTTTATTTTACTCAGTCTTTACACTGAAAGCTGTGTATGTGGAGGGGAAGGCCTCTGTATATGGAAGATAGCTGAAAACATACCAAGTAAAGAAGTTGCAGGCAGAGGACATGGGTTGGTCCTCCAGCCTGGGGATTGGACAGGGGAGATCTAACAGCTCCTCACTATGAACAGGCATGTTAGAAAATGTTATATGAGCTCAGTCTAAGATGGCTTCTTTCGAATAACACATGCAACATAAAATAGACATGAGATCTGGAATGTTGGATGTCATGAGAGTCTGTATAAGCAAGGTTCATTGAAAACAGTAAATAAGGTTGAGGGGTGCACATCGGATTTTTCTGGCTTTGAACAGATACAAGTGGTGGGCACATGTGAACATGGTAGTGAACCTCTGGGTTTCATTAAAGGCAGGGAATTTCTTGGCTATCTGAGCATGCTCTTAGGCACTGAAGAAGGACTGTGTTGCATGCAGTTAGTTACCTGAAGACCGCACAGATAAACTTCTTTATCGACTTTCATCATGAACAGCACTGTTTCATGAGCTCAATGTCGAACACTACTCTGTACAGTTAGTGTCATGCTGTCTGCTTTCTGCATCTTCACGTTTCTGTCGCAGGATGTTGATGCCGGCACCAAGGCATTACCTGCAGCTCTGGGTGACAAGTTTGTCGATGTGAACCACCTCGTCCCTATAACGTGTCTGGCAGTAAAGAGTGAAATCAAAGTGAGTTACTGCACTTCTGTAAAGCCACTCAAACGTGAGGCTATTTTTTGATGCTTTTATAGACTAAAATGGGAATTACCATATTATGTGCCGGTCAGGACTGGTGCTTTGCTAGAAGGACAGTTGAAAAGTCATGAAACACAAGTTTCATGCTGTGTGGATTTTTATTTTGGGAAAATGCAACACTGAACTCGTTGAATACTGTGATGATAAAGAATGGAATGTTCTCATCTGTCCATGGATACTATTTACTTATTATGCCATTTTGTGCAGCAGGAAGAGCCGTGGGGTGTTTCAACAGTGAATGAGGAATTGAAGAAAGAAGCGGCAGATGAATGTGAAGTAGGCACAGAGAGGTTAGTGGATTTTTACTGAATAATAAAACGAAATGTACCCCGCTGCACGTAACATGTTGAAGGTATTTAAATTGGCTGGTCTCGTCCGTGAGTGTTGGAACGACAGCAGTGCAATGAGATTTACTGTGTTGGCTTCACTGAACTTCCTGGTGGACTGGCTGTCTTTATTTACACTCATTATTCTTGTTGTGATAACTCTGAATATTTGTCTAGATGGCAATATGTGTTCCCAACACAGTAAAGTTTATTGTGACGTGAAGATGGATATCTTCTGGGTTGTAGCGCCGTGTAGTCTGGTAGAAGTTTACCGATGTTTCAGAGGTCTTTGCTGCCCCCATGGTGCCAGATGAATATCTCATTGCTCCCATAAGAATACCACGCTGTTATCTCCGTGCAGGTCAGAATGTCAGTTATTTGTTCATCTGTGCTCAGTACAATCCCAAACACAACAGCCATTATCTGTGGTAAATTGTGTGTTAGGTTAGGTTAGGTTGTACAGTACTTTGAAAATTATGAAGAATATAACATAAAGCTGAGTTACAAAGAATTTAAATAAAAGCACATGAAGTGGCCAACTCATTTTCTTGTACAAGAGATAGCTTTTGTACAGAATGTATGTTGATTATGATTTCGGCAAACCAGGTGACTGACTTGTTTTCATATTTCAAGCGAAATAATGTGACGAGGGTTCCTATGAGTTGGAGTGGAGGAAACGTATTTCCCTTTGAAACACTTTGTTGTTGAAGTTTCTCAACAGAACTTACCATCGGTTGTCATTTTAAACAAATCAGCCTGTCTTGCTCCTTCACATTTACATTGCAGCTATTGAGCTTTCATGTGTCTTCATGTCTCCTAGTAATACCTGTTGGTGAGTTAACTGTCTTGTTGATGCTTTAGCAGATGGTGCAGTATTTGAGGACATAGTGGCTTCAGTTCCTGAGTTGTTTGTTTAACATGAATAATGTAAATTTTTAATTGTATTTGTGACAGAGAAGAGCAGAATCTAGGTTTCTAATTTGGAGAAGGATATAAGGTGCAAGTTTGAATCACAGACTGCAGGTTTATGAAACACACAAAGGATTTGTGTAAATTGCTATAGACTGTGCTTCATCTACTTTCAGAAATACTAGTGTGGTCAACTGGTACCGATAGGTCCAGCTATAATGACCGAGATTTTTATGTTTTTCCGCAGTCATTTCAGGAAAAATGCTCTATTTTTAAGTAGATCGTCACTGCTTTGTCTCTGGTCCATGACATTAAATAACATGTGGTCACTGTCATCTGTTTGTCCTAGGCTGACGGATATTAATGCAATCACTTGTGTTACAGTTCTGATGAATTCATCGATGAAGGGGGAATCAGTTCTTTGTCAGAGTATGTAAAGAAGCCTCTTGATTATGAAAACTATGGGAAAGGAGGTGAAAGTTTATCCAATACTACAGCTAATCCTTTCAAATGTGATGTGTGTCAGAAAGAATTCTCGGACAGTAGAGGATTTGTTAAGCACAGGCGCAAACATACTGATGATAAACGTTACAGATGTGACATATGTGGAAAGGACTTCTCAGACATCAACTATCTTGTTGGTCACCGCCGGGTTCACACTGGTGATACTCCTTTCAAATGTGAAATCTGTGGGAGAGGATTTTCACAGAATGGAAATCTGATTGATCATCGACGTACACATACAGGGGAAAGACCCTTCACATGTGACATGTGTGGGAAGGGCTTCTCTCAGAGCAGAAACCTCGCAAAGCACCGCCGTACGCACACCAGAACCGAACCTTTTAAGTGTGACATTTGTGGAAAAGGATTTACACGCCCAGAAAATCTTGACTCTCACTATCGTGGACACACTGGTGATGAGCCTTTTAAGTGTGACATTTGTGGTAAAGGTTTCTCACGTACAGGGAATCTCATTAACCATGAACGTACACACACAGGGGAGAAGCCCTTCAAATGTCATGTTTGTGGGAAATCTTACGCACAGCGGGGAAATTTGGTAACACACTCACGTACCCACACCGGACATAAGCCATTTAAATGTGATGTTTGTGGGAAAGGATTTTCACAGAATGGACATCTGGTTTATCACTTGCGCACACATACTGGAGATAAACCATACCACTGTGAGATATGTGGTAAAAGTTTCTCACGTAGTGGATATCTTGTAGTGCACCATCGCAGCCATACTGGAGACCGACCATTCAGTTGTGAGATTTGTGGAAAAGGGTTTTCACAGAGGACAAATCTGTTTAAACATGCCCATACACATAGACGAGATAAGCTTCCAGCTAAGATACTTGGCTGAGTGACGGGTTGTCAACCATTATCCAGTAGATGGCTGCAGAAGACGGTGCATTTCTCAGAGAGTGTAAGGTAAAGAGCTGACCCATTGTTTTCCAGGTTGATTCACATGCGAATATAACTGGAATTTAATTTTAATTTTAAGAATGCATGAGCCGGCGTAGCTCAGTCAGTATAGTGACTGACTATGGACTTGACTACTGGGATTCGATCCCCGACGGGGGCAGAGGATTTTTCCTCTATCCTCTACATCCGGACTAGTTCTGGGGCCCACCCAGCATGCTATCCAGTGGGTACTAGGGTACTTTCCCAGGGGTAAAGCATGGCCGGGGCGTGACTCTGACCACTCACCCTCACCTAGTGCCGAAGTCAAGAATGAGTTGGAGTTATACAACCTTTTCCCCCCAAGCACCTACATGACGTATAGTGGGATAGCTTTACTTTACTTATTACATGAGTTGAACTTAGTCCATGGGATGATTGTTTAAATTAAGAATCGTGATGTTTTGCATGCATTTCGTACATTGACAAATTGTATCATGTGTGTGAGAACATAACAGAAGGGAAAATGGTTTGATTTGGAGAATGAGTGAAGAACATAAAGACATTTGAGCATTTGCTGCCTCACGCAATATATGAACAGTCATAAGAGGGAAAGATGTATTAACATAGCACAACAGAATTTTGGACTGTTCCTTGTTTCACTGCACAGTGTTATTGTGCATTATTCAAGGGAGGTTTAGTGCTGTGCTGTGTTAAATGCCATACACTGTATCATGGTGGTGCATTTAACTTAAAGAAATTTGGTGAAGTTGTGAAAGTCTGCTTTGGCAGGAAACTGTGGATTGATGTTACTTGGTAAGGTGTGTGTTTTTTCTTTTCTTTTCTTTCTAAATCGTGTGTGCATGTACTGAATAGTGAGGCAGGGGCTGATCATAAAGTGATTCATTGGACCTGTTGTCTGTGGACTGGTGCTGCTCCACAAACTGCAGTTTATTTACAAAATATTGTTTAACAATTAGTGATGTTTCTGATTCCTTTTAAGAACTGAATTGAACTTTACTACTTTTTGCATAGAAGTTTCACTAATTAAGCCAATTATTTCACTTTATATACAGATGTGACAAATTGGTTCAGATGATCTCATGATTTCTGATGGTGACTCTTCATAGTAGGCGACTATGACATAAATTTGATTTTCATACCACAAAGGCATTCATTTTGATGCTGTAAATAAATATGTTTAGGCACACTAGTAATAATTATATTTATAGAAAGTGATTTGTACGTTACAGTCTATGGAAAACACTCTATTATTTTGTTAGTTCATCAGGAATCACTGGATTTTAAGTAACTTACAAACACTGATGGACAAAGGGGTGCTGTTAGACCAATTTTAAGTGAATGAAAGTAACTGTATGACTTTACAAGACTGAAATTTGAAGGAGATTACTGGAATTAATCATAAACTAAAATGAAAGCAAACACAGAGGATAAGAGAACAAGCTCATTTTAATAATTTTTTCAAGAGACAAGGATAAGAATATACTATAAAAATCATCACTGTTTGTAATAACATTTATTTTATGTAACAAAGTTAAGAACATAGGCTTTGTTTAGGTCGCAGCAATAACTTATGACTGCCACAAAATCTGATGGAAATGTGTTCAGTATCTGGTTGTGTAACAGCCCTCTGATGCAATAAACCATCTGCACACAACAGAGAAGTACATCAGATGTGGCATTCTCATGATTTCACCGCATAAGTCATACATGAAGGCCTCCTCTGCATTGCATGCCTTAAGTTGTTTTACCTCATCTTATTTCAAGTAGCTGAACTATATAATATTGTAGATTTTGCATCTTCAATACTTGTATGGGATTGCAGAGAAAAACAATAATCTTTGATTTCATGAATAATTACAAATATAAAGTAGGATTGAGGTTTTTGCATAGATGAGTCTGAAGATTGCTGTCTTCTGGGTCCTTGCACTGTGTAGTCTGGTAGCTTTCGAGCAATGTTTCAGATGTCATGCTGCCTTCATCATCAGGGCAAAGACAGCAATCTTCAATTGCAAATATCAAATTGTTACACGCATTTACTTTCATCGGAATGTGATCAGTAAACTCCAAGTTCCTTATTTTTTGTCACATAAAATGTTGTTCATAATGATGATAACCTCATACTTGAAAGAATACCAAGGAACTCACAATTATCCCTCAAAGTCAATTACTCATATATTAAAGGGAAACATGGGTATTAATACATCCAACCTAAATACACAAATAACATCTAATCAGTAATCATTTGCAATTATGTTGTTCATTCAAACTAAGAGACCACACTTCAAAGTGCAGTTTACACAATAATAAAATAATAATATCTTCACACACAAAGCAAATCTCCAGTTTAATTACTAAATAATAACTAAAATATAAATATCTTAGAAACGTGTGTTGGTTTTTTGATGTCTTCCAACAGTAGATTGTACACTGACAAACAATAGTTTGATTGCAAGAGATGATTTAAGTTACAGAAGGAAATTATCAGTATGGCCTTCTTGGTGGTATTATCCCAACATTCTTCTATAAGAAATGTGGAAAATTGCAAAGAAACATTATCATTCTCATGATGCAGGTAGTACACTTCTCTGAAACATTACTTACTACCTAACTACATGGTGCTACATCCCAGACTTAATCACCCTGACAATACTGGGGGAGGAGTACAGATTTTTAAGCTGGTCATTATTCAGTTTTCTCCACGTCCCATCGTCTTCCCTCTTAGGCCCAAATATCCTCCTCAACACCCTATTCTCAAACACCTGCAATCTGTGTTCCTCCCTCTGAGTGAGAGACCATGTTTTGAACAAACTTTGTAACCCTTTCAAAGGACTTATTAGCTACCCTAAGATAATTTTGCCTGCCTGTCTTCTGATGACGAGATACTAACATGTACTTAGTTTTTTCTGAATTTACTTCTAGCCCCACCTGTCTACTTGCCTCTAGTAAAACTTCCGCGTTCCTCTTTATTGTTTTCATATCGTCCCCCAATAAATTAACATCATCAGCATATGCCAATAGCTGATGTGTCCCATTCAATTGCAGACCCTCCTGCCTATCTTGGACTTTCCTGATGGCGTATTCTAGCGCAAAGTTAAAGAGCAAGGGAGACAAAGCATCTCCTTGTTTTAGACTGTTCTTGATGAAGAATGTCTCAGATACATATTTACCTACTTGAATTTTGCTACAGGTTTCATTTAAGCACATTTTTATTAGACTCACTAGCTTCTTTGTTATACCAAATTCAATAAGAATATTATATAACACTTCTCTCTTCAGAGTCATAGGCTTTTTTGAAATCTATAAATAATTGATGTACGGTCCCACTGAACTCCCATTTTTTCTTTAGTATCTGATGAATGCAAAAGATCTGATCAATCGTTGATCTGTTTCGTCTGAACCCGCACTGATGATCCCCAATAATTTCATTCGCATATGGGGTTAATCTTGCTAAAAGAATGTTTGATAGAATTTTGTATGAGGTTGATAGCAGTGAAATTCCTCGGTAATTACCACACTCAGTCTTGGCCCCCTTCTTATGAATAGGAATAATTATGGATTCCTTCGCAAACAAGAGTCTTATCGCCAGTATGAGTACGAAGATGGGTGGCAAGATGACCACTCCATGAAAATGCCTTGTTACAGATACGACAATTATACGGTTTTTCTCCAGTGTGTGATCTCTTGTGACCAACCAAACTGCTACTATCACCAAATCCTTTGCCACAAAAGTCACATTTATACGGCCTATCTCCAGTGTGAATTCGACGGTGTTTGGCCAGAGGACCAGATTCAGTAAATCTTTTATTACATACGTCACATACAAATGGTTTATCACCAGTGTGTATACGCCGATGATTTACGAGATGTCCGGCACGCGCAAAGGCTTTACTACAAAACTCACATTTAAAAGGCTTTTCCCCAGTATGAGTACGACGGTGTTGAACTAGACTACTACCAACTGAAAAAGCTTTACCACACATTTCACATATAAATGGCTTCTCACCAGTATGTATCCTTCTATGGGCCACAAGAGTTCCATTAGCTGCGAATCCCTTACCACAAAGTTCACATTTAAATGGTTTCTCTCCAGTATGAACACGACGATGTGTTAATAGTTGACCAGGCTTTGAAAATCCTATACCACATATGTCACATTTCAAAACATTCTCTCCTGTATGTATTCGGTGATGTGCCAGTAGATGACTTCTATAACAATATCTTTTACCACAAATCTCACAGTTAAATGGCTTTCTTTGAGGACTAATATGACTGTTTCCAAAACATGTACTTTTATTATATTTGGCATGTTTATTTGTAGCATATGTGGATCTGTGTTTCTCAAGACAATCACTATCTCCAAAAGTCTGCCCACAAACATCACATTTGTAATCGTTCTGACTTGCCTTTGCCAAAGAACTAAGGCCATCTTCATCCACGAACTCAACCAAACTGAAATATTAAGACATGTGTACTATAACACTAAAACACTTTCCACTTCTACTAAACATACACTCAGATAAGAAGTGTAGCTAAAACTTATCCTCTTATGTTCACAGAGGCTATGTTAATTTTGGCAATGTCCATATCATGTAAGAAGTCATCCTAAGAAATATAAAATTTCAATTTCATTGTAAGTGATTAATCATGCTAACATTAAATGTGTTAGTTTGAGGTACTGGCAGTTCCATTACATAAATATGGAATTGCTGATGAACGTAACAGCAATTAATGGTCAAGTGTCAGCCATTACACTCACCATCCCAAAAACACTTGATGATCACCTGTTGTCACTTCTTCTTTCACATCCCATAGCTCTTCCTGCATTCAAGAAACAGAATCCAAATGTTCAGACAATGAGACTGACTCCCAGTTCCATACATGCTAGAAATCTACCACATTTAAATATGGTTCCAAAGCCATGAAGCCATTAATTAGCATTTCACTAACAAACACAATACTGCAGTCACTCAGCTAATCAAGAAATTCCTTGTATTATATGGAAACCACAGGTTCAGCATACTATTTACAAGAGCCAATCACTAATGCATAAGCTAGGTCAGATGAATCTGGTACACATCTCACAATATATTTCTTTGTGATCTATTCTATTAATATTATCCTCCTACATGTGGGCATGGCATCCAACTAAAATTATGCATGCATTTTGAATATATTGCAGCATGCTACATGCCCAGCCCAACTCATTCGCCTCTATTTGACCACATGAGCCATACAGTACTTTTAAACATCTAGATTATTAAGCCCCTCAATATACGTACAACTTTCTCCACCCTCCTTTTACGTTCTCCCAAACATTTTCACATACTCTCCTCAGCAATGTGCTCAAACTTTCAATCTGTTTTCTTCCACCATGCAAATATTAAAAAAGTATAATTGGTTTTCCATATGTTTATATTTTCCACCATTATCACAAAACAAAATTTTAAAAAAAGGGATAAATACTCTGTCCTATCTACATCCTGCATGAAGAAAGGAAAGAATCTCTTGGTCCAGAGGACATTCAGGAGAGTCTGGCAGAATCCGCTTTGAATTAAACACAAAGGAAAAGCTGACTGTAGGGTTAGAATACAGGAATTATGGAACCATGCAGGCCATCGACTGCAATGAATCAACATGCAATGAAATGTAGGTCCAAACCAATTCATCAGGCTGCATTAAACATCAACATACCTCAGGTTCACTTTTCACCAGTGGTAATGTTACAGTTGTAAAATGGGGATAATGAATGAGTTGATCATCCCTGCATGGAGAATCTGAACAAGGTTCAACTTTAAACACATCCACATTCTCCTGTAAACGCATAAAACAACAAGAGCTCCTAAACATTATGTCAACCTCTTCATATTAAACCTGTGGTTGGAAAGCATGAAGGAAAGAGACCACTCCAAAGATCTCAGTGTAGTAGAGAGGATAATATCACAATGCATCTCAGTGATAGAGCTTGTTCACAACAATATCATTACATGAATAATAATATGATACATTACTGGAGATTTCACTTTATGTTTCTTTAACATTACAAAATGAATACTGTCAACATAACATGTAGTCCAGTACCTAGCAATAGTAACAAAATACTATATATACTGTAAATATGTTTTTATTCTGAGAATTGCAAGACAACACTCAATACTCAATATATAAAATATAGTAATTTTATACAAATGTATGAATTATACATATCTACCAGGAATTATAAATTAATATATGATCAATGAAAAGCTTTTTTTATTTAATGTTTTCTGATTTGAGGCAGATCATATGAATTGTAAGTACATCAACAGGAAACATAAAAAGAAAAGAATGGCTTTACATTCAACACAAGGTTGAAAATGTCACCTGTGGTTCACTCTTCACTGCACAGAATATTGGTGTCTCCAAATGATCTTCATGTTTCAGATCTGCAACCTTAGTATCACCACATAAGTGCACTGTCAAATTCTCATTGTCTGAATCAGGATCAATTTTCATTAGGTCCATGATGTTCTGAAAGTATTACAGCCCACTAATCATTTATATTATTCTTATTGTTGTCTAGGCCCTTTACTTGACAAAATACCCATTACATGTCGAAGCAGACATAGAATGTCTGAAAATTTTACATCTTTCACACACATAATGAATAATTAATACGTAAAGAATACAACCTGTTCAACCAACCTTCAATGTTTATTATTTATATTACTAAATATGTACCTCACCTGATACTGACACAAACCACTCACCCCATCCACTGCCGAGGTTAAAAATGACTAAGATATATACTATCTCTCCCTCCCACGGCGTATAGTGGGGCAGCTTTACATTTACTTTTTAACTGATATATAGTTGAGCAGCAAGCAAATAATAAAGGATACACTCAAAACGTAATATATTCTGAACTGAATAACAGTGTGCATCTCGTTCATTCTATATAGGCAATCATACTTACGTATTTCCGGATTAATTTATACCACTGTTGCTCAGTTTCAAATAGATGTTGCCCATCATTTCCATCATTAAAGTCGCGCGATTAGCATCACTACAGAAAAGCTGCCAAAATCAAAATGTTTCTTCTCATACCTAATAGAAACACGAAACACAGGTCACTACGATCGACCCCCAAAATATCAACATTTTTTCCAAATTACATACAAACAAGCTGCATTCACGGAACGTAGGATTCAATTGCAAGTTCAGATAAGACAAATTACGATATTGCAGTAGAAGTATTTCCTGTCAAGATGGAGGAGAATGTGTTTGCCGAACATCAATCTGCAGGTTAGTAATCATTTACAGAATAGAATTTATTTTCATTCCATATATCCAACATAGGCTTCAGCCTAGGGTGTAAATTATGCTATAACACAACTGCAATAAAAATATAAATTACATTGTTATGACAATCAGTATACTGACTGCCTACGGACTGGACGACCGCGGTTCGATCCCCGACGGAGGATTTCTCCTCTAGCCTCTGCGTCCAGACTGGCTCTGGGGCCCACCCAGCCTCCGGTACAATGGGTACCAGGGTGCCTTCCTGGGAATAAAGTCTGGGTGGGGCAAGATGCTGACCACTCACCCCTATCTAGTGCTGGGGTTAAGAATGAGTAGGAGCTGTACTTACTCCCCCCACCAAGCGCCTGCATGGTATATAGTGGGAGTTTTACTTTTACGTTTATAACAATGATTTGCAGTCAACTACAGTATTACAGGAAAATTATATACTCTGAAGCATGAGAATTTTTGATTAACGGAAATTTTTGTGTGGAGTCAGAGTGAGATAGGAGATACTCTTTTTGTGCTGGCTTAAACTTCTTAATGTTGTGATTCAGACTTTATAGTTGAGGACGATTGTTGAATAGGTTAATTCCAATATAGTAAACTCCTTTTTTAAATTAATGGAGTTTAGCGTTTAGCAGATGAGAGTTATATCTGTATCTTGGCCATACATTGTGGATATCTGGGTCTTTATGAAACATTTATATGTCCCCCACTTCAAACAATAATGAGAATAAAATTTCTGTGGCTAGTTAAAATTGTTATTGTCTATATTCCAATCAAAATGAAAAATACCAACAACCTTAAAATATGTTGCAGTGAAGTATTGTACTGGTACAAATGTCACTACTTCTACTGAAGTAGTTTGAACCTGAGGTTCTTAAACTGCTGCCATAGTCTGGTTCCTGGAAGTTAGAGAGGCTATCTAATGTAAATGCTTAATAATATTTTTGGACAGGGCCAAGTTTGGTAAAATAGAATATATGTACTTTCATCTTTCATTGATGATGATGTTCAGTGATGGCCATTCTCATGGTGAAATTAGCAGTGTCAATGTTGGTGACAGGTTCAGTCCTCATATACAAAATTATAAGATGTGTTGAACATTTGTTGTCTAACGGGTGGATGTGAGACGCGTAGAGACCAATGGGAGTTCAGGTATGGTTGACCATATTCAGGACAACTTGAGGTAACGGATAGGTCAAGGTCATGACTATCAGCCCAATGTTTTGGGGGTTAGAGACCTTTGAAAACTTCGAGGTCATTCAAAGGTAATATTTTCGGAAGCTTATTTCTGCCGAACTGTATGCATATGGTTGACCATATTCGTATATCTTTGTTATTTGTATTATATTTCATAACACTGATACAAATGTTCCAGCAGCTCCCTCTCCTGAGTTGATCGTCCAAAGTTTGAGAAATGTAAAATGTTCACAACCTGAAGAAATCCAAGTGTTGGGTGAGCAGTGTACAGGTGACATTATCATGACTCCACCATGTTTATTTTGCGAAGGTTGGCAGTAACTGCAACATCAATTAGGTTATTCCCTAGAAAGAAATCTGTTGCGACAATGTTTGCATGTGGCCACCACTGGTTCTTAAACCATGATGTCAGATTTCGATTCACTGCGTCAGCCATGGCACGCAAACTGCCTGTTGGATTAAACATGACGTCAAGGGGCGTGGGGGTTAACTCTGCCATGGCAGCCCACAGGCTTGGGGCACGTTGCTTGGCATTATCCATGCTACACTGTAGGAAGCTCCGGAGTCCACTGGGAGTCTGCTGGTTACCCCACACCTGGGAGAGTGGGCCCCACAGCATTGTGGACTCTGCAACACACAGTGTTTGTTGCTTTAATCTGCTATACTTCATATAGCATTGTATTTTGAACTGGGAATGTTATAGAACAAACTAGCCTTTTCTTACCTCAGAACACTCATACTTCATGTGTTCTCATTTTCCAAGTTTCTCATGAATATCAGGACTTCCAAGTGAAACTAAGAGAATATGAATCCTTATTGGTTTTCTCAGTCTCTTCAGGATTGTATCTTAAAAGTGGCTTTGACTGCTTGATCCCACATTCCTCCTTATTTTTTAAGTGTTTTTAAGTCAATATTAGGCCTCACCTGCTGCAACATTCTTCTCCCCATATGCTATGATAAGCCTGCGGTCATCATCACGGTCCCAGATGTCCCTAAGTAAGGTTGAAGCAGTGACTGTTGACGTGGGCAGGGCAATGGAGCCCAGCTCTCTGGTTAGTAGTGCCACCAGACGTCGGTGCCGGGCAGGGCGTCTGTGGAACCCAACAGGAAAGCGATGCAGATCCAATATCACAACTTCACCCTTTGTTTTCTGTAGGAATTGCTTAACTTCCCGCAAGATGGGCAGCAGTGGGCCAACACGGATGAGGTCATGATTTACCCAAAACCTGCAGAAAATGTGTAAGGAATTAGTTACAAGTATGTGGGAAGTTCACAAAGTGGCACCAATTAAATCTGAATGTACCTGACTCCATGGTCCTTTGTTCGAGTCTTGTTACTAGGGGGATAGTACCCAATGCGCAGGTCCAAGTACCGAATACCGTGCACCAGCTGTTCCCACACGCTAGTGTCCTGTGTCAACAGGTAGCTTGAGAAAGTGTCCCGTCGAGTGAGAGACCCCTTGTAGCATGCAGAATTGTGAGTGCCAGGAATGAATAGGCCCCCTAGTGAGAGGGTTTGTAGCTGCAACCTGGAACAAACAGCAGTGGTAGAAACTACAGACTGATTTAATTTAAACTTGCAATTTCTCTAAAAATGGTTTGGAAACAGAATGGACTGTATGCATTACATAAACTTCATCATATGGGGCTTCCTTTACACATGATAGTTACCTGAATATTGTATTCTGAGTCCTTGCATAGCCTGAAGGTTCATCTCCATTACCACAAAAGTCTGCCATCTGATCCTTGCTTCAGGTAGTTAAATCCAATCCACATTGCTCATCCTATTTCTTTAATCTCTGTTTTAATAGTTACGCTAATTAAAATGTATTTACATAAAACTTATTGGTAAACATTTGTCTGATTATTACCTGTTCACAATGGTCTGAAAAAGGAGGGGCTTTGTCACCAATGCTGTCAAAGTCTGCTTTGGAATACATTATCAGGAAATAAACAGAGGGACTGAGGCTGAATAGGATCCATCATAAATATCATAAAGTGAAACAGAAGTTATGTTAAATGCCAATAAGGAAATTATTCTGATGTAGAGAAAACTAAATATATGTTCATATTTTGTCAGCAGACAGAAGGGTAGTAAAAATAAAAAGGTAAAGCAGCCCCACTACATACCATGTAGGTCACTTGGGGGGGGGGGAATAGCAAGGAAATTAGTTTTATTTGTAACCAGTTTCCATATGAAGAGGCCAACAGTAAATGTACCCAAAGGACCCCAGTAGCCATCGAGTAGGAGGCTGGGTGGTCCCCAGAGGCTAGAGGAAGAATCCTCTGCCCCATCAGGGTTGAACCCCAGTTATCCAGCCCGTAGCTAGTCACTATACTGACTGAGCTATCTCGGCTCTGACGAAAGGGTAGAATTATTATTACATAAAGGTAACTAATAAATACTTTGAAAATGTGGCAAAGTTCAAATGTTTGGAGACAGACGTAACAAACGCAAATTGCATTCCTGAAGAAATTAAGAGCTACCTAAATTCAGAAAATGTTTGCTGCTTGCCTTTAACAGGTAAAATTCTTAAATATACAAAATTGTAATGTTACCTGTTATTTTCATGGGTGTTCTTCTTGTTCTCTCATCTTGAGAACAGGGCCCTGAGAAGAATATTTGTGCCTAACAGGGACAAAGTAGCAGGATGCTGGGGAAAATTACATAATGTGACGCCTCATAAATTTTAATCTGTATGAAATGCTATTGGGCTGATGAAAACAAGAATGTGATGAATTTACCTATGGTCCCACATCCAGGTGGGTCGTATCTTGAGGCAGTCCATGTGCACCAGCCGGTTGTCTCGGAACGAGGCAGCCCAATATGGGAGACAGTGGTCTCCCTCTATGGGTGTAGTGTTGTGTCTGAACTCCCAGTCCCCAGGCAGTGATGGACGACCCAGACTGACATTAGTCCTGAAGAAACCACCCTGGTGGTCTGCAGGGCGCACCTGTGCGAGTGGACTGAGTTCGCCTGTCAACATCGGCAGTTGGAAGGTGTGGATTAGATTCGCGTGAGTCCCAATCTGGACCATTGGTGAGGTCTTGTTAAAACAGCAGTGACCTTGTCTCTCAGGGTCAGGACCAAGCAGTCTCTAATTAACTACATGATGCAAAGTCATTCTTAAAAAGCTGTCAGGCAATTTGCTGCCTTTCATGGACTTCATAGTTGTACTTCAGCCATTTGAGGTGTGTTTATTTTGAATTAACATGGAAAATAATCTGTATCAGATGATTGGCTTTTGGGATGATGCGTCATGTAGTCTGAATGAAGCTAATGGAAGTTTCAAAGGTTCTTATTGCCTCCATCATCAGTACTTACCAGCCTGATGATGAAAGTAGAAAGCAAGCACCTCTGAAATGTCAGTAGACTTCTTCCAGTCAACAGAGTTCAGTATACCAGAAGACCATCATCTTCATTCTCATTGCTGTGAGAACCTGAAATCTCATTTGTTCAGGTATTTAACAGTGTTTTCCTCATCCAGCATTCTGCAAGTCTGATAACTGTGGGTTTCATCTCAAGTTTGCATTTGCTTTGATGTGTGTTTAATTTGTACTTTGCTCTTACTAAAGTTTTATGACCTCACTTTCACTGCTAGGATTGGAATTGAAGAGTCCGACCCAGTCTGGCAACATTGCTGGGTCACACGAAGGATCCCAGTTGAGCTCCAGGTCCCGGTCGGCCAGCCCGCGACCATGAGGCGAGGGTTGCCACAGTGATGACACCGTTAAGAATACGGCGTTGCAGTCAAAACCTGTTGACTCATGTAAGTTTGAGTTATTAAGTTTCTTGCATCAAGAGGGCAGGGTTGTAGGTAAAATTGTCCCTACCATATTTCACTTCAAGTTATGTATCCTCAGTGCTAGATACATCATTGTAAAAACTGAAGAAAGTAACTAAGTGTGTAATCAGAGAACTTGAGACCATACATTTGTCAAGCAGGATCCACAACCGAACTTGAACCAGAACCATTTCCCTGACAATTCTCATCTTTTCCAAAGTCTTTATCAATACTGGCCTCCTTGCTGTTGGTAAAGCAGAGGTGCCGGGATTTGAAAGATGTGGCTCAGAGGACCTCCTAGTGAGTGCCTTCATATTTGTTCATTTTTGATCTTGTATAGACAGAGACAGGCTCCAACATGACCTTGAACAAGGAAGTGCTCACAAGTTGGCGTGGTGTTAATTGTCGGTAGTGACCGTGATACGTCACCTGCGAGCTATACTCTGCATGTGATATGTCCAACATGCCACCTATCTGTATGCTCTGAAATGATAGGAAAGTAATGCAGATGGAATTAATGGAGAAAGGAGGAGGTTTTGCCCCTGAGGATAGTGAGGAATTGCAAACCAGCAGGGTGAAGAGTTGGAGGAAGAACAGGGGGATGCTGGAGAGAAGATTTTGAGGCTGGTACAAGCAATAAGTCAAATGAAATGAAGATGTTTGTTGGTGTTTCATGCATTCTTTGCATAGCATGCATGGAATCAGTGAACAAGGGGGAAGTAACATCAGTATCTGCAGCCATCTGTATGCCTTATTGTTCAGGTATTTAACAGTGTTTTCCTCATCCAGCATTCTGCAAGTCTGATAACTGTGGGTTTCATCTCAAGTTTGCATTTGCTTTGATGTGTGTTTAATTTGTACTTTGCTCTTACTAAAGTTTTATGACCTCACTTTCACTGCTAGGATTGGAATTGAAGAGTCCGACCCAGTCTGGCAACATTGCTGGGTCACACGAAGGATCCCAGTTGAGCTCCAGGTCCCGGTCGGCCAGCCCGCGACCATGAGGCGAGGGTTGCCACAGTGATGACACCGTTAAGAATACGGCGTTGCAGTCAAAACCTGTTGACTCATGTAAGTTTGAGTTATTAAGTTTCTTGCATCAAGAGGGCAGGGTTGTAGGTAAAATTGTCCCTACCATATTTCACTTCAAGTTATGTATCCTCAGTGCTAGATACATCATTGTAAAAACTGAAGAAAGTAACTAAGTGTGTAATCAGAGAACTTGAGACCATACATTTGTCAAGCAGGATCCACAACCGAACTTGAACCAGAACCATTTCCCTGACAATTCTCATCTTTTCCAAAGTCTTTATCAATACTGGCCTCCTTGCTGTTGGTAAAGCAGAGGTGCCGGGATTTGAAAGATGTGGCTCAGAGGACCTCCTAGTGAGTGCCTTCATATTTGTTCATTTTTGATCTTGTATAGACAGAGACAGGCTCCAACATGACCTTGAACAAGGAAGTGCTCACAAGTTGGCGTGGTGTTAATTGTCGGTAGTGACCGTGATACGTCACCTGCGAGCTATACTCTGCATGTGATATGTCCAACATGCCACCTATCTGTATGCTCTGAAATGATAGGAAAGTAATGCAGATGGAATTAATGGAGAAAGGAGGAGGTTTTGCCCCTGAGGATAGTGAGGAATTGCAAACCAGCAGGGTGAAGAGTTGGAGGAAGAACAGGGGGATGCTGGAGAGAAGATTTTGAGGCTGGTACAAGCAATAAGTCAAATGAAATGAAGATGTTTGTTGGTGTTTCATGCATTCTTTGCATAGCATGCATGGAATCAGTGAACAAGGGGGAAGTAACATCAGTATCTGCAGCCATCTGTATGCCTTATTGCACAAAAACTATACAAAGAACATATATTTAAACGTGGGAAAATTTTATCCAATACCTGCCATTGTTGTTATCACCTAGAATGTTGTATAGAAGTGCTACTTGACATGGTCTATAAATGAGGAAAATTTCAGACGAGCTTTTCACACGACAAATTTAATGGTTCACTTATCAGTCCATCCAGACAAAAGTCATCATTACTGCCCCTCTTAAACAACCCATTCATGATACTAGTCTGTATAACCTCTCCAGTGGATACAGCATCAATAAACAATTTGTGAATCAGTTCCTGGAAGTCACATTACAAAGCAGGTTACATATACAAGATGATTGGCAGTGGTGAAAGATATACAAAACATCCATGCCATAGATGGGATTTGAAGCCCTGTCCTCACAGTGTTGGGCAGTAAGAACCATGCTTAATGATGGTGCTCAATCTTCATTCTCCTCCCATGTCTGAATTTAGAGGAGAAATTGTTTTTGCAGAGATAAGCGAAGCGCAATTTGCGTTGACCCTTGCAAATGTCAGGGTTTGTAATGTCAGAAAGGGCAATGATTGATGTAATGACTGCATTTGTTTTTATTATTAGCCTGTGTCCATCACACTGTGTGGAAGATAATATTTCTCTGTCTATTGGGAAGATATTGTAGACTTCTTACAAGTGTGAAAGGAATTGAAAAGAACATGTTCTGTGAAATCCCAGCAGTTTTTATAAAACACCAGGCCAGAGAAAGCAGTTGCTCAGTGACATCTGTAGCAACTCTTCTGGGTTTATGGGAGAATTTTCTGGGTTAACCCAATCATTGTTGCAATGCAGGCCTCTATCTGGTTATGATGCGTACCTCGCATGGCGCATAGTTTCGTAATTCTTACCGAATTTCCTAGTTGTAGCCTGTGACACCATGCTGAGACATGTACAATTGTGATGTGAACATGATTTTTTAATATCTTGCATATACCCGTCCCTTACGTCTTTTGGAAGATGCCTGTCCACAAGAAATATTAATATACTAATCCTATTTCGCTTATATGTCAGTAACGCAGTTACATTTTATTTTGTACGTACGGTCTGCAGTAACAGCAAATCCCACGCAAAGCAACACAGTGGAAGCACGGAATGCAGCCATCACTGCTGATGGCGCTCTGCCAACTGAGGCCATCCAGTTATGATGAGTCTCAATTGAATAACAATCGCACTTCCTCACGGTGACATAGAAACAAGTGGGAGGGCTGTACAAAACATCAAGTGGCAGGATTGTGCAGATATTACGCTTGAGTTGCCTCATGTGGCTTTGTGTTGTTATTAATCTCATAATAATGTGAGGGCTGTACATAAGCCGCTTTATATCTGTCAGTGCAGAGTTAGCCCACCTCTGCACTGCCAGCAGGAGTCCTAGGTTTGGTGCTTGCAACTCACAGCATCACATTGCTGCGGCTTAAAAACAGTCACATAGCATTTTCGAAGAGATTCGTACAAAGATTCTTTGTTTATTTCTTGTTACCTCTGCCTCACCCAAGCTGCATAATTTCATTACACTCATAATGAGATAAAGTTCAGTTCCAAACGACATCCCAGCTTAAGACTCTGTCTACGTGGTGATGGTGGATGCTGTCTGTCATATCTGTGATGACTTGCCTCCTGCCAGTGTGAAGCTGATCACGATGTTTAACTGCACATCCCGTGGAAGCTGTATGAGGCTCCGGCAGGCACAGGGACACCAAACTCTAAATAAGATGTCATTAAGTGGTGCTGGAACACTTGCATGCACGTCTCGGAGCTGAGATGAGGCCAGTCACAGATGTTCATTCTGTTACCTTAAGCCATTAACAATTTGAACACAAAGTAGTATATTTTGAAAAACCTGTAGATTTTGCAAAGAGGATTCTGGGGTGTTGTGGAAAAAAATGTAATGACAAGAAAGAAATAAGTTCTTCTTTTAATAACACCATTAATTCACATTAAACCAATTCTCTGGTAGCAGAACCTGAAGGTTCAATGCCACTGAAACAAAGCCTACCATTGGGCAAGATCCTGATCCACCTACTATCATCGCAAAATGTTTCTCCAAGACCCTTCTTAATGTTATACTACCACCTCCTTAATTTTTGAAGTGACTGCTTTCAAAGAATCTGCATCTTGTGTCTTCTATCATAGCTACGTGTGCATTCTATTATGACCTTGACTTCATTGCCCAAACTGAAACTTCCTTCTTCTGCACTGTTCTGTGTTGCTGTTAGCCTATTGTTTTCAGACACTTGTAGTGACAAGCTGAAGTCAGTGTCGGCGCCGTCCTCTGTGAGGCCTGTCATTTCGCTCGCTGTGTCAGCAGGTTCAG